AAGAGAAGAGAGAGGAGAGAGCAGAGGGAGAGGGAGATTGGCGAGCACCCGGAGCGGAGAGAGCGAGAGCAGCCTAGAGAGAGAGAGAGAGAGAGAGAGAGAGAGAGCGCTCGCAGAGATTAAGAGTAGCAACATGCATCCTTCCCCCGTCTTGTGTCTAACTGCAATCATTCTCACGCCGCCACTGTCTCCTGCCACAGGTCTGAAGGTGGAGCGTGTGGCATCCACGCAGCTGCGAGAGTTTGTTGCCACGTGCATCAGCAAGTACAAGAGAGCCAGCATGGAGCCAGGTACGTGCGTCCGACAACCGGTCACCTTCTCTTCGCTCTGGCGCTCCGGTCGCCGCCGATTCTCGCCATCACAAAAGATTTCAACTCGCAGTATCGTGTGCAGTGCATAAGAATCACAACGAGTTGAGAGTTTGGTTGCTAGAGAGAGAGAGAGATCAAGAATCTGCAAATGCGTTTCCCGTCGAGTTTCTTTTAAGGGAACGGGGTTTTGTTCCTGAAGTCTAGCTAGTCATCGTAGTGGTTGTCGCTGTTGTTGGGTTGTTGTTGTTGTTGTTGTTGTTGTTGTTGATATTGATGTTGGTGTTCTTGTTGTTATCGTGTTATCTTTGTTGTTGTAGTTGTCGCTGTTCCTGTCATCATGAATTTATTGTTGTTGTTTCTGTCGTCATTGTTGTCATTTCTGTCGTTATCAGGGTTGTATTTGTTGTTGTTCTCTAACCGTAACCTGCGCGTTCGTGTTTGCCAGGCACGGCTGTCGGCGCCATCGCCGCACAGAGCATAGGCGAGCCGGGAACTCAGATGACTCTGAAGACCTTCCATTTCGCCGGAGTGGCATCGATGAATATCCTTTCATTGCGTCGGTGCCTGCACACCGACATTAGCAATCTAAGTCGTCCTCGTCCTAGCTGGGACATAGGGAGCTAATAGAAATAATCATAGAGTACATAGTTTTGTAATGAGAAATTCGCTTTCACACTATTGCATTCATCAGATTTTTTTCTCTCGGAGTCGTACTCTCGTGGATGCGCGCCGTTTCCAACTTTGCATCGCGTCTTCCTGCAGCCCATTCGACTCTGGACGGGCAAGCAGATATTCAGCCTGATCCTGCGGCCGAACCCCGGGTGTCCGGTCCTGGCAAACCTGCGCACAAAAGGCAAGAACTACAGCAGCGGGGAGGACATGTGCGTGAACGACTCGTGTAAGTGAGCGCTCGCGCGCGCAGCCGCCGCCGACTTTGGTTAGGTGAGAGTTTACCAGTTGTTGATGCGGGGCCCAGGAAACGTCTTTTGGGGATGAGCCAAAGTTAAGGAAGAAGATAGTAGCACAATGTAAATCTGTCTACTTTGTTGTTGTTCTTACATCTACAACAGCAGGCTGCTGTTCATCGAGGTGGACATGGTGTTGTTGTATGTTGTGTTGCGTTGTACGCTGTTGCGTCGTGTTGCAGTTGTCGTCATCTACAACAGCCAGCTGCCGCGCCGTGCCTTCGTCCGTGTTGCTTTGTGTTGCACGTTATATCATGTTGCAAGGTGTTGCATCATGTTGTACGCTGTTGCGTCGCGTTGCATCACGTTGTACGCTGTTGCGTCGCGTTGCATCATGTTGTACGCTGTTGCGTCGCGTTGCATCACGTTGTACGCTGTTGCGTCGNAGGGAGAGAGAAGGGAAAAAAGAGAAGGGGAGAAGGGGAGGGGAGAGAAGGAGAGAGAGAGGGAATGAGGGAGGGAGGAAGGGAGAGAGAGGAAAGGGGAGATAGAAAAGACGACCTCATGACCTTCAAGGTACGAACGACGAGAGAGAGGGGGAGGGACGAGGGGAGAGAGGGAGGGAGAGAGAAGGGAAAAAAGAGAAGGGGAGAAGGGGAGGGGAGAGAAGGAGAGAGAGAGGGAATGAGGGAGGGAGGAAGGGAGAGAGAGGAAAGAGGAGATGGAGAAGACGACCTCATGACCTTCAAGGTACGAACGACGAGAGAGACCGACGGCGGCACGCGAGGAGGGCTCCCGTCTCGAGGGGGAGAGACGAAGGGAGAGAGGAAGAGAATGGGAAGAGAGGGTGCGAGGGAGAGAAGGGGAGAGAGGGAGGGAAGGGGGAGAGACGAAGGGAGAAAGGGGGAAAGGGAATGAGGGAGGGACGAAGGGAGAGAAGGGAAAAAGAAGGGTGGGAGGGAGGGAAACGAAGAAGGGATAGAGAGGGAATGAGGGAGGGAGAGAAGTAAAGAAGAAGGGTGGGAGAAAGGCAGGGGAGAGAGGGAGAAAAAGGAGGGGTGAACGCAACTAAAAAAGAAAGGTGGGAGGGAGGGAAAAAATGAGGGCGGGATAGAAAGAAGGAGGGAGAGTAAAAGAGAGCNCGAGGGAGAGAGGAGGAGAGAGAAGGAAAAGAGAAGGGAGAAGGGAGGGAGAGAAGGAGAGAGAGAGGGAATGAGGGAGGGAGGAAGGGAGAGAGAGGAAAGGGGAGATGGAAAAGACGACCTCATGACCTTCAAGGTACGAACGACGAGAGAGACCGACGGCGGCACGCGAGGAGGGCTCCCGTCTCGAGGGGGAGAGACGAAGAGAATGGGAAGAGAGGGAGCGAGGAAGAGAAGGGGAGAGAGGGAGGGAAGGGGGAGAGACGAAGGGAGAAAGGGGGAAAGGGAATGAGGGAGGGACGAAGGGAGAGAGGGGAAAAAGAAGGATGGGATGGAGGGAAGCGAAGAAGAGATAGGGAGGGAATGAGGGAGGGAGAGAAGTAAAGAAGAAGGGTGGGAGAAAGGCAGGGGAGAGAGGGAGAAAAAAGAGGGGTGAACGCAAAGTAAAAAAGAAAGGTGGGAGGGCGGGAAAAAAGACGGCGGGATAGAGAGAAGGAGGGGGAGTAAAAGAGAGACNAGAGAGAGAGAGACAGAATGGGCGAGAGTGAGAGACAGTAAGAAAGAGGAAAAGCGAGAGAGTGAGAGAGAGAAAGAGAGTGTGTGTGTGAGAGAGAGAGAGATGGAGGGAGAAAGAAAGTCAGTGACAGCACGCACGAAACAGCGAGATATATAGCCAGAGAGGACCACTCGTTTCTTTTCCATTGTTTATTTGTCTATCGTTTTTTGTTTGTCTATCGTTTTGTCTATAAATTTACGTCTGCCTATTATCGTCTGCCTATTATCGTCTGCCTATTATCGTCTGCATATTATCGTCTGTTCGTCATCATCGTCTGCAGGCGTGAAGGGTACGGCGACGGTGTCGAACAACACGTACGAGATGGAGAAGACGCTGGGTATTGAGGCGGCGCGCGCGTGCATCATACACGAGGTGCAGTACACGATGGTGAACCACGGCATGAGCATCGACCGACGACACGTCATGCTGCTCGCTGACCTCCTATGAGCCCTTCAGGTAGAACGACGAAGAGAGGGAGAGACGAGGCGAGAGTAGGAGGGAGGAGAGAGGGAGAAGAAGAAGTGGGAAAATGAAGGGCTGTGGATAGAGGAATCGAGGGAGGAGCGAAGGGAGAGAGAGGGAAAGAGGAGATGGAGGAAGACACCTCAATGACCTTCAGTATCAACGACGAGAGAGCACCGCGACGGCGGCACGCCGAGGAGGGCTGCCCGTCTCCGAGGGGAAGATGACAAGGGAGAGAGTGAGAAGGGAAGAGAGGGGCG